CATAGCTAAAATCCATAACTTTCACTGTGAGGAGAAATAAGTTCAATTAGTAACATTTTTTTATAACATATTTTATTTAACCTATGTGTAAAAAAAGGGAATCGTGATGCAAATAAAACCTAGAAATACAAATAAGAGATTTTATTTTGAATATTACATTTTATTATGTGAATGGAATAAATAATTAAGATTATGCATTGTTTATTGGAAATTTGCAGAACTATTTTTAACAACAGTTTTTCATGAGTTATTATTATCATGCATTATTAATTCTCTACTCTTTAATTATTATAGCTCGAAAGGAGTCTGCCAAGGAGAAACAGCTGAAGGAGGAGGAAAAGATTCTGGAGAGTGTGGCTGAAGGCAGAGGTAAATGATCACTGTACTGTTTATGAATTTCTTATATCTGTTGTTAAAAAAATATCATCATAAACCTGCATCGTTATTTTTATCAGCCCTGATGTCTGTGAAGGAAATGGCCAAAGGAATCACATATGAAGATCCAATAAAGACAAGGTGAGTTGACGTATACAGCACTTTCCGGAGCCTGTACCATAATGCTGGCTTAACAAACTCAGGATTATAGGATTAGACTAAACCAAAACAGTGCAGTCATGTTTTGCTGTTATCATGAATCGAATCATCAGCTTTCTATATTAATTCTGGCTTCAATCCTGAGTTCATGAGCATATGCAAATAAAGGCAGGACATCAGCAGCAAACAGCCAATCACAGGCCTCGAAAGAGAAAGATACTGGGATTGACTTTTAAAATATAATATTAAAACATTTTTAAAGAACATAAAATTTAAAAACATTTATATAGCAAGATGAAAGAGGATAGACAAATGAAAAATGATTTATTCAAGCAAGTAAAGTACATATGATAATACATAAATATACAGAGACTCTAAAATATAAGGTCAGATGTAGTCTTTTTCAAGCATTATCTACTTATTTAAGATACAGGTTATTTATATTGCAGCTATCAACATATTTGTATTTATTGACACAAAAAAATGGTTATTAAATTCAAATTATATTACAGATATAACATAATAGATAATCATTTGTTAAAATCAAAATCTTGTAAGTGTTTTACTATACAGCTACTTTAACTTTGAAGCAAGAGAATCTGGGGCAGTGGCTTTATTGTCACTTTGCTCACAGCTGATTTGTTGAATATTGGTTTGTGATCTCTTAACATAGCCTGAACATAACCTGAACATAACCAGAACATAACCTGAACAGAACAACAAAACTTGAACATATCTAGAACATAAACAGAACATAAACAAGAAAATAACCTTAACCTAATCATAGCATAACTAGAACATAACCTGAGCATAATCTGATCATAATCTAAACATAGCCAGAACAAAAGATGAACATAACCAGAACATGACCTGAAAATAATCAAAATATAACAACAAAACTCGAACATATCTAAAACATTAACAGAACATAAACAAGAACATAACCTGAAGTTAATCAGAACATAACTAGAAAATAACTGAGCATAATCTGAACATCGCCAGAAAATAAGAAGAACATAACACAAAGATGAACAAGAAAATCACCTGAACATAATCATAGCATAACTAGAGCTTAACCTGAGAACAATCAGTGATTAATCTGAACATTGCTAGAACATAGCCAGAACATAACCAGGACAAAACCTGAACATAACCTGCACACAATCAAAACATAACAACAAAACTTGAACATATATAGAACATAAACAAGAAAATAACCTGAACTTAATCATAGCATAACTAGAACATAACTGAGCATAATCTGTGCATAATCTAAACATAGCCAGAACATAACAGAAACATGAACAAGAACATAACCCGAACATAATTAGAGCATAACCTGAGAATATTATGTGCATATTCTGAACATAATCTGAAAACA